AAAAAAAAAAGCACTTGGATTTTATTTGCGACTATCGTAGTAAAACTGAAACTAGTCTTCTGGTCCCTTATTTGTTTTGACCTCTAATCCGAATACCAGTTCTGCTGCTACTTTCCAATACGCCATTCGTACCTCAAGAATCTCTTGTAATCAGATCAGGATTCTCCAGAAAATTCCCGCTCAAGTTCTGTACTGCTCTTACCGCCCTCTTTTTTACATATTTCAGTACTCCTACAACAACTGACATTCACAAATGTAGTAACCGACTTTCTCATCATTGCTAATGCAAGCCTTGCGATGGCTGGTTGAAAATAGCTCTGCTCTGCGTCAATCATTGTACGTACATCTCTGCTTGTCGCATGTTCAATTATTTGGACCATGCGATTCATCATATTTTCTGTCTGAAACAACCCTCATCCATTTGGAATGCAGCGCATTTTCTTATCAATTTTATTAAGTTTGTAACATTGGCTTAACCTACTTGTCGTGCTTCAGTCTCCGTTAAAGTGTTCAGCAGAGGTTCCATCTTCTTGGTTTTAGTGTTATACACCTAAAAAGCAAAATAAACGTGACTTTTTTCTCATCGGCTAAGTTTGCCCGAAGAATGCAACAAAAATTTTTACAGTATCCACATTTTTTAAAATAAGTAACGCGCCATGTAATCACCAAGATTATGCGTTTTTGCAGTAAACTTTAGTGAATTTACAAATAGACAGGACTAATTTTAACACGGCTTTGATGCGTTTTCGCACAGTGGATGAGATGTGAAGAAGCACACATTGTAGAGAGGCTGTATGTTTTGTTTGAATTTTGACTCCACTTTCAACACAGCAGTCAAAGAATCTAGGAAAATGGAATTTACGAGAATGTTCCTGGATTAAATGCAGTCCCATAAACGTAAAATCAACTCTTAATGCGCTCACGCCTCACTACGGATCGCTGTAGGAAATTTTCCCAGTATCTGCCAGGACTTTGCTTCAGAAACTCAGCTCCTCGTTATTCAATAGCATCATGTGGTCGAACACAATCTCGCCATAATGCTTTTTTGTCAAATCAATGGTGCAGTGTAAAAACATTTAAAAGAGCGATTGTACCATAAAGTGGGTACCTGAAACATCTGGTCAAGTTGTCTATGCTCCTCGATCAGTTTACTCCAATCGTAGAAGTCAACGAACCCATGCTCATCAAAATCAACCATTTTTAACCAGTTCTGCATCATTCTGTCATCGATTTGAACGCCAGAATCCTGAAAAATGTGCTGATGCTGGTTTTGATTAGCACCGTCATACGTTATTTTTTTTACCAAAAAAAAAGGAGACCGGAAAGAATCGTAAAGGGAAGCGAGTTTCCTTTTTCAGCAAAAAACTCCAAACTGTTTTGGCATTTGGAAGTAACGGTAAAAATGAGAAAATTTTCCTAGAATTGTCCGGTTCCAGCGATTTGAAATTCGTAACGCTCCTCAGATTCAAACGCACGCAAAGCGTTACTACGCAAGGCCATATTGTCTATGCTGCATATCTGCAATTTGCTCAGACCAGTCCTACTGCATACGCACCTCACACTGCAAAATACTAGCCAAATCATCCTCTTTTTATGTGATTGTCACTCACTATGAGGTCGCGTTCCTTAAACGCGAGAAAAAAGAGCATTTTTTTTACATGGAGGGTTTCTTTGCTTGTGACTGATGTGAGGGACAAGTAAATAAAGAATCGGTCAACGAAAAGGAAACACTGATTCCTGGACGGTCACTCAGTCCACAAATAGAGCTTTCAGAAAGTTACGGATTCGAGCGAATCGTTTACCGAATATTCTGCTTCCTCAAAATTTTTTAACTCAAGCTCTGAACACTCCAAAAATGCAAATGAAGCAAACGAGAACACCAATCGGGAAAGCGCCAATCGAGTGCGTCAAATACAACATTAAAATATGGCAAAAAAAAA